CACAACATTGTGATTTTGAACTCTGTTGATAGATGCAGATTTAATTCATTCTATTTAATTGCTGTGTAGTGTCTTACTTTAGAAATATGACACTTTTTCCTAATCCATTTCCCCATCAATTGACAGTTTGGTTATTTCCTGATTATTTTATCTTAATTGTCATTTACTTTTACTACATTGTGTTCTAGTGCCGATAGTATTTAAACTTAGTTTAGTCTCCAGTTCTAATCTCTGTGAACCTTGGCATTGTAGTTCAATTCTTTTTCTCCCTCATACTTCTGTTGAAAATGTCTGCTGAATGTTGTTCATGTTTTCAGGGTTTCTGTATGTCACACACAGTGTTGTTTTTAATCCTAGCAGGCAGTCCCTGATGGAGATGCAGAGCCGTCACGGGGCCAGAACAAGTGACCCAGACCAGCAGGCTTACCTTGTTCAAAGAGGTGAGTGCCATGGACTGTAGGTTTTCAGGCTTCCAGGGAGTCCCAATATCCTATCAAGAAGATACTTAAAGAAAAAAATCCACTACATTCTAGTCCACTCTAGTCTACTACAGATATTGGCCAGAGTGAGTCATTCACTGTTCTTGAAACATGTCCTAAGCTTTCATACCGACATGTATTTGCTTATTCTGTGTCCTTCACCTAGATGTCCTTCCTACACTTCCTCTCCTCCTCCCAGTTTCTTTCCAGCGAACTCTTACCCCATCTTTAAAACCCATTTCATGTACCATCTCCATGAATCCAAGAGAACAAGACCTCTCCCTCCTGAATTTCCCAAGTATTTTATTACTCTGTTTTAGTACTTTTCTGCTATTTTAAATTATGATTATTATGTGTTTTAAATACATACTCTGTTAAATGATAAACTCCCTGGGAGTTTACCTTTTCACCCACTACATGCACATAATGATATTACCTCTGAGAGTTTACTATGTTCAGGTGCTGTGCTAACCACTGTGTACATATTATCATGTTAAGCCTCACAAAAATTCTATGAGGTATGTATTACTATCTCCATCAAACAGAGGATGAAACTTATACCTGGAAAGGTTAAATAATTTGCCCAGAATCACAAGGCTAGTTAGTGGCAGAAATAAAAGTGAAACCCAAGGTTATCTGACTCTTAACCATGACACAGAAATTGATCATAGCACTTATTAAAAGTATGATACTGTATTTATTACATGGTTTTAATACAATAGTAATAATATTCTACAGTTTAAAATAGGTCACGGTCTATAGCATGTCTAAAGGGAGGCCTTATTCTTGTTTCTAGATATAAAAAAATAAAATTCAGGCAATCAAAGATTGACATAACTAGCAGAAAGGTTAGTGGCAATGCCACTGAAAAAGAAGAGTCTGAGTTTAAGATGCTGTCTTAAATTTTACATAAAACTGCTTTTTTAACTTTTTTTTTTTGTAATGCTAGACCAGTCTAAGTCACTCTCACATACCAACTGAAATGGAACTACATTACAGTGTTGTCATCAGCTAGGGGACAGTATCTATAGTAAACTGTTAAATCTTGGGGGAAATTTCTGATTATTTCTTTTGCCACCCGCCCCCGCCACAAGTTCTTTTAAAGGAAAAAGGAGGTTAAAGTAAATAGAGGTAGTAATTCAGGTTAGGAATAAGCATAGTATTCATGGTGCATATCCAGAAGGGGAAGAGGTAGCACAGGCACTGACAAATATTAGCCTTAGGTATTTCTTAGCAAAAGCAGGTACAGCTATATTCTTCTCTGAAAGTTGCGTCTACCCACTGCCAGGCATTTTCTCTATAACCTCATTTTAAATATCCTAGTAACACTCATATACCTTATTTCTACAAGTGTACTACAAGATTGTCAGGTCAAAAAGGACAATCTGTTGCACCTGAATTCCTTAAAGGAAGATTTTTTATCTTCTTAACTGTGTGAGGGAAATGTTTATTTACATAAAAAAAAAAAACTGGTGAAACAGTCTTTGACTTATATTTAAAATCTAAAAGTCTTCCCAGAGTGTCTGTTTATTCTAAATTACCCTAAAAAGCTTTTTTGTATTATAAAAAACAATACTCCAAACAGAAACTGCCTTAAGATTTTTTAATTTCATAACAAACCTGCTTTAAACAGTATTCCTTTTTAGTATATTTTATCATCATTGCTATCAGCAGCCATTTTAGTGGCTACTGTGTTCTAGGACATTCTGCAAGGCACTAGGTAACAAAAATGCATAAGGCATGGTCATGTCCTTAAGGACATACGGCCTCATTGGAGACACAAGATGTGCACAGAAAAAGAATTCATAGTACAAGATAACATGTAATAGAAATAATAGTGTTGGAAGATCAGAGGAAGGGTGAGCATTGAGGGCCAGGGGAGTTGAGAAAGGCCTTGAAAAACTGTGCCTTTAAGCTCGACCTCGAAGCAAGGGTTTGGATAAGTATGATGTGAGAATAGAAGGGCAAAGACAGAAATGAGTATGATGTGTTAAATAAAGAAAAATGACTAAGCTTGTTTTAGAGTGAACAGTCAGGAGACAGAGGGGACCTGTTAGCAGACTGGTACAACAAATCCAAGTCTTGAAACCTAGGCCAGCACAAAAAAGAAAAGCACAGATAGATGCAATAAAGTTTTAAATGAAGACTAAACAGTCCCTGGTAAGAGTCTGGTTGTCATATAGAGCAGGGATTCACAAATGACAGCCCACAGGCCAAATCTGGCCTGTCACCTGTTTTTACAAATAAATTTTTATTGGAATACAGTCATGCCCATTTATTTATATACTGTATATGGCTTCTTTTATGCTACAACGGCAGAGCTGAGTAGTTGTGATGGAAATTACATGGCCTGCAAGATCTTAAATATTTACTGTTTACAGAAAAAGTTTGTTGACCCCTGACCTAGAGCAACTAGACAGTTAGAAAGCTCCCTGCTTAAGAAATCATGCCTTGTGATAAGTATTTCTATCTAAAAATGCTTCTAATGTTTGCCTAATACAAACTATCTGTAATAGTATTACATGTATTACATGTTATTGAATTCAAATAATGCGTTAGAAGCAAATAACCATGTTAAGGGTTATCTCTGCTGTCATTCTCCAACAACAAACATTTTGGGGGCTGAACCAAACTCTAGGGACCTGAGACTTTCTGAGACTCTGAAAAGCCAAAATGGTTTGCATTGATCCAGAAAGGTCAGGTCAAAGAGATGCCCCAGGAGCCAGAAGTAATTTCCAGCATTGATCAAGTCAGCGCTATTTCAAGCATTCTTTAATTTAGGATTGAACCTCTGTATGACTTCAAAATTGGGGGAAATTACAAGACTCATTCTTCAATTCAAGAAGCCCTGGTGGTGCAATGGTTAAGCACCCAGGTGCTAACAAAAAGGTTGACTTTTTAACCTACCCAGCAACTCCTTGGGAAAAAGATTTGGCAGTCTGCTTCCATAAAAATTACAGTCTTGAAACCCTATGAGACATTTCTACTGTGTTACATGGGGTGGCTGTGAGTCACAATTGACTCAAAGGCACGCAACACACACGCACACACACGCATTCTTCCATTCTTTCCCCTGACTTATTTTACCTCTTGCCTAACTCCTTTTCATTCTTAAGACTCCTCTCAAGTGTAATTACTCTTATCCCAGAAGCCTTTCTTAACTGAGCAGTCTAAGTTGGGTGCCTTTCTCTGTACACCGGCTGAAACCACCTTATGCAGAACACAGTTGAGGCATTTACTACACTGCACTGTCACCAAAAGTATCTGCTGAATAAACCTAAGTATTGTCTCTGCTTCTGGGAAGCTACATACTGTTCTAGGATGCCTCTCTTATGCTCTCTTCATTTTTTCCTCATTCTTTCTTCTTTTGTTTATATCCTCATCCATCTCTTTTCTTCTCTCAGATACTCTAGTTTTTATTAGAATATGGATTGTCATGTACCTAGAGCTGAAATCATGTATCTTCATGGAATGGAGTTGAAATCCTAAGAGAATAATGAATCAGGGTACCATTTCTGCATATGTTTTCTGTGTTAAAGAAAAAAAAAATCAGTATTCACTTCCCACTAGGTATTGATTACAAAGTTTAACTTATGTTAAAATTAGCCCAACTGTTATTAAAACCAACCAGACGAAACTGCTTGCAATATGAAACTAATGGAATGACATTTCATTTAATGCTTATTCCCAGGAGCTGAGGATAGAAATTGGCAGCAACAGCAACAAAGGAATATCCCGATTCATTCTTGCCCCAAATGTGGAGAAGTTCTGCCTGATATAGATACATTGCAGATTCATGTTATGGACTGCATCATCTAAGTGTTGATGTTGTACCTCCCCCAAACTGTCGGTAAATGTCAGATTTTTTCATCCAAGACTTGTACTGTTGTGTTATTTGTTTTCACTCAAATATTTTATCTCATTTTATTTGTTTTAGGAGAAAGAAAATGTATATGTTCTAAGTATGACATTTTTTGTGGATTTCCTTAAGCTCTCAAAATACAGTCCTAAGCACACCACTCTTCTTAGAATAGATTCAGGTTTTTTTATGTTCGGTTTATGTGAGCACTGACCGCAGACATCATGTGACAGTTAATGTAATTAGATGGAAGAAACTTCACTGGTAAATTTTAAGAACCTTTAAGGAAGCAGGAAAAATGAAGTGGTCACAGATAAGAATCAAGAAAAATGTCTTTGAAGTATCTTTTTAATAAATTATATTTTTATTTTTCTTTATCCATTTAAAATGAATCTATTTGGGGTTGTGTGTATATCTCTGTGTGTTATAGTTTTATTGCAGCCACAGTAATTGTACCAAAGCTAGGATATGGCTCTTTTCATGTAAGTACTGTGAACTTTTACTTGATATCAGGACAAGTGAGAAAATACTGGCATACATGAAGTAGATACCATTAGGTTCACTTGATTTCATATAACCATTCATAGTGTAAAATTACCTTTGTTCTTTCATTGTACAGTACTGCAGATATATGGGCTTGCACAGTAGATAGTTTATTAACTTGTAAAAAGAACAGCTGTCTATTAACTTTATTACTGGATCAGGTTACATCTTCATAATCACAAAAAAATAGTTATTGCAAAATAAAATTTTGCTTATGAATCTTCTACATTCTTCATATATGACTAATTTCATAGTATGCATTTTCAGTCTTAAGCTTATTCAGCTTAATATTAAGATCTATTTGGTCAGTTCTATGAGAAAATCTCTTTTCTAGAGACCAGTACATGTTGCTTGAGTTGGAAATTAATCTTGCTAAGAAAGTGAATCAATAAGTGTTTGCCATATTTTTGTAAACCTGCAGGTTACCAAAACTAGCCAATATTAGAACAGCCATAAAAATAAGTAATGACCTTATGCATCTAGGTTCTAAAAACAAAGATAAAAGATCTCCTTTGTTGGGATTTTTCATAAGAATTCTCATAGGCAAACTTGATCATATATATTTGAACAGAAATCAAAATAGTTAATGACTTTTTTTTAAATTTTTTTATTGTACTTTTAGTTGAAGGTTTAGAGAACAAATAGTTTCTCATTAAACGGTCAGTACCCATATTGTTTTATGACATTGGTTAAGAACCCCACGATGTATCAACACTCTCCTTTCTTGACCTTGAGGACTTTTTTTTTGGTGAAAATATACATAGTCAAAATTACACCATTTTGAAAGTTTCTACATGTACAATTCAGTGACATCGATTACATTGTTCCAGCTGTGCTATTCTTACTATCCTTTTCCAAATTATTGCATCACCATTATCTTCAACTCACTGTCCCCTAGGCTTCCCATCAAACCTTTTGAGCTGCTGTTGTCAATCTGAACTCCCTTAGATAATTCTTTTTTTTTTTTTGTACCTTAGATAAAGGTTTGCAGAACAAATAGTTTCTCATTAAACAGTTAGTACACATATTGCCCTATGACAATGGTTAACAACCCCATGACATGTCAACACTGTCCCTTCTCAACCTTGGGTTCCCTATCACCAGCTTTCCTGTCCCCTCCTGCCTTCTAGTCCTTGTCCCTGGACTGCTGTGCCTCATTAGTCCTGTTTTGTTTTATGAGGCTGTCCAATCCCTGGCTGAACGGTGAACTTTGGGAGAGGCTTCATCACTGAGCTAAAAGGGTGTCTGGGGGCCATACTCTCAGGGTTTCTCCAGTCTGTGAGGCTAGTAAATCTGGTCTTTTTTTGTGAGTTAGAATTCTGTTCTATATCCTTTTCCAGCTCTGTCCAGGACCCTTTCTTGTGATGCTGGTCAAAGCAGTCAGTGGTGGTAGCCGGGCACCATCTAGCCCTACTTGACTCAGCCTGGTGGAGGCCATGGTAGCTGTGGTCCATTAGTCCTTTGGACTAATCTTTTCCTTGTATCTTGTTCTCTTCGTTCTCCCTTGCTCCCGAAGGGGTAGGACCAGTGGAGTATCTTAGATGGCTGCTCACAGGCTTTTAAGACCCCAGACGCTACTCACCAAAGTAGAATGTAGAACTTTATCTTTATAAAATGTATTGTGCCAATTGAGGTAGATGTTCCCCGAGACCATGGTCCCCACAGCCCTCCGCCCAGCAATTCAGTCCCTCAGGGGGTTTGGAAGTGTCTATGGAGCATCCATGACCTTTCCTCGTACAAGTTGTGCTGGCTTCCCCAGTAATCTGTACTGTCTTACCCTTCATCAAAGTTACCACTTATCAGTTTAGTTCCCCCCGACATCCCTCCCATCCCTCATAACCAAGTTAATGACATTTTTATACTAAGAGAACACACTGTACAAATTCAGCAATGATTTAGATTAAAAGATCTCCTTCCCCTCCTCCACTCTGCCCCAGGGAGAATGTTTGTTAAAGATATTTCTGAAAATAACTATGGAAATTTTGCTTTTAATTTCTTGTGTATGACTTCTAGTTTCAGGGTTTTTTTTTTTTGCCATTTTATACTGGAGAAAATAGATTTCTGTAGTATCCTAACTAGAGGAGCAAACCAAATGGTCTCACATTTGTTACTGGGGATATCTTTTTACTTTGTTCAAGTAAAAATATTAAGCAGATCCAAACTCTGAAACAGTAGCATAAATGGCCATATTAAGCCTGTGATCAAACTGTTTGCTTGATAATTAGGATTGCAAATGAAGGAAGTTCACAAGATTGATTTAAATTAAAGCTATTGTTTTAAGGGAATCAAATAGCAGGGTAATCAGTTTGAAAACTCCATGCATCTCTTTCTGATTAGTCAGATATCACTTCAAAGGTCTCGTTCCATGTTACCAGTTAACTACACCACAAAGTAATCTTGGCCTCTCATCCAGGGCCTGCCACAGTTCTCTTGAAGTCTGGTTAAATAAGGAACAGTGGAAAGGTGGGAACTGGGAAGAAACATGAATGAGGCAATGAAAATATCATAGTTAAGTAATTTTACAGTAGTAAGTCTTCAAACGTTTAAAATAACTTTGAATCATAAGATTATTTAATATGAACACACAACACATTGTGTGCATCATAAGCTAAAGATTGGCATGAAGATTGGCTGTCACTTCCATTTGGCCCACAGTGAAAGGGCTAATTTGGGATTGTTTTTAAAGAAACATTAAATTTATTATGCCATCATTAATCAGTGGGGGAAAGCTGATATGACAGATAGTTGCAGCTTTTAAGTGTAACAGGAATCAAGTATATGAAACAATATTCAGATGTTTTAGTGGAAAAATCAAATGTACCAAAGCTGTTTTGCTATGAAAGGCAGATACAAATTAGTTTTAGCACCCTCTTTGGCATCATTTGACTTACATAGTTTGTCCTTTAAAAAATTATTAAAGTAGCATTATGTACTCCTGCTAAGAAAAAGTCATTTAAGTGTTATTTTGAGTAATTTAAGTGTTTTTTTTTTTCTAACCTAAGTAATTAGAAAGATGTGAAGTGTAATACAAAAAGTATTACTTCAGGAACCCTCAGTGAGCTGATATGTGTAGCAATTTGTCCTTTAAATATATGGAGCTATAATCGAGGAGGGAGGGAATTATTTCACATATATAAAATATATATTGTTATTAACCCAGCAAAACCAAAGACGAAATGTGTTGAACATTTCTTATGAGTTAATTAAAACCACCAAGGCTATAGAGTCTTATGTTGGCTTCCCTTTGCAAAACTTCAGTTGAGGTAACTAGATGAAACAACATACGCTGTTGTTTAAAGTAACCTCTGGGTTGGTTGAAGAGCAGTAGGCAGTTAGCTGAGCCGCAGAGACAATATTCTGTTACGAAAATTAAGAAGACTGAGTTTTCTTCTTTTTCAGAGGGGCCATTTCATCTCTTAAGTAGAGGGTTATCTTTGAGTAAGGCTAACATTTTTCTCAGTTCAAGGTCTTTGTCCAGTCAGTTGGACAAATTCAAGTCTTGGGATAAGGGCCTAGAGAGTTTTGCCTGCACTATAGTGTGGAAGATGTGAAGGCAGATGTAAACAAGGAGGTGAGGGGCAGGGGCATGGAAACCCAAGATAATTCCCAGTAGAAGGTCTAATTTTGAATAGCATTGCCTCCTGCTGGGCCTAAGGATGAAAGAATGTTTAATCATCTGGTACATAAGCCAGGTGGACACACCCAAAGATATTCTGCTTCTGTGTTCTCTACTTTAGAGAACTCAGCTACATTCACTAAGCCAGCACCCTAAACCTATATTTGAAGCCCTGATGTGCCCCCCTGGCTTCAGTCACAAATCTAAAGGCACCTGCTGAAATCTCCAGTTTTATGTCTTCTACTGCACCACCATCTCAGACTGAATTTATTGTCTTTCCCCCACAAAGTAAGTTCCTCTTTTAGTCTTCTAGCCTATGTCTATAGTTCTGCCAGTCTCCCAGGTTTTGTCAACCTTGCCATCACCCTCTCCTTTTCCTACAGCTGGTCAGTTACCAAAGCAGATAGGTTTTCCTTAATGTTCCCCGTTCATCCCTGTCGACTCTCATAGTCTGGAATTATCCTCCATTTTCTTGTATATTCAGTTCTTGAGTACCTTTCTTTATTAGCTTAATCTTCCTAAACAATGCCTGTCATGGATTGAATTATGTCCCCCAAAAAAGTGTGTATCAGTTTGGCTTGGCCATGATTCCCGGTATTGTGTGATTTTCCTATGTGTTGTAAATCCTGCCTCTATGATGTTAATGAGGGAGGATGGGAGGCAGTTGTGTTAGTCAGGCAGGACTCAATCTACAAGATTGGATTGTATCTCTTGAGATATAAAAGAGAGAAGTGAGCAGAGAGACGGGGAACTCATACCACCAAGAAACCAGCGCCAGGAGCAGAGCGCATTCTTTGGACCCAGGGTTCCTGTGTGGAGAAGCTGCTAGTCCAGGGGAAGATTGATGAGAAAGCCAATGGAGAGAGGGAGCCTTCCCCTGGAGCTGACACCCCGAATTTGGACTTTGAGCCTACTTTACTGTGAAGAAATAAATTTCTGTTTGTTAAAGCCATCCACTTGTGGTATTTCTGTTATAGCAGCACTAGATAACTAAGACAATGCCTTATAAAATGGTAAGAATATTAGTTAATACACACTTAATGCTTACATATGCCAAGGACACTGTGCATATTTTCAAGTTTTTCTCAGTTAATCCTCACAATATCCTATGAAATAACTACTATTATCACTGTTTTGCAAATGAGGAAGTTAAGGCACTGGGAGATTAAGTTACTTACCCAACACTGCAGTTAGTATGTGGCAGTTAAAACATATACAGTGTTAAGGTTCCTGGGTGGTGCAAATGGTTTGTGCTTGGCTGGTAACCAAAAGGTTGGTGGTTCAAACCCACCCAGCGGTATGGCGGAAAAAAACAAGCCTGGCAATTTGCTTCCATAAAGATTACAGCCAAGAAAACTCTATGAAGCAGTTCTACTTTGTAACACATGGGGTCTCCTAAGTCACAAATCAGTGACAAAAACAGAAATGTATACAGTCTTAACTCCACAATCTGAGCCCTTACCCACACTTTCCCTCTACACATCCACCTTCCTTCCCTACCTGCTCAAACACGATCTCTACCGCTTACAAAATAAAGTTCTTGACCTGGTGTTCATCAGCCTCCACCCAGTTAGTTTCTTCTGACTTCTTTTAATGTTTCTACTTCTCTATTTGTTACCCCCTCTCCAGCAAAATTGGTGCTCCTTGACTACCTAATATTATCTTTTACGCATATGTCATAGCTCCCTAGTTAGACTGTAAATTCCTAGAACATGGACCATGTGTTCATATTCAACACCTTGTAGACATAAGGCAATAAGTATTATGGCTGATAACATTATGTGGAAATGTACTCGAAATTCTCGTTTGATCCTCCCTAAAGCCCTGTAAGCCAGTATTGCTATTATCAGCATTTTACAGGTGTAGAAACTGAGCCCAAAATTGCTAAGTGGCTTGTTAAGGAACAAATTCTATTAAGTATTTTCTTTCAATATTTATTGTGTTCCAGGCACTAGCATCGAGAGAGGAAGGAGGAAGAGACAGGAAGATGAACAGTACACAGTTCTCTTCCCTCCAGATACATTACAGTGGGAAGAAGTAGATGACATAAATAAGTAGAGTGCAGTGTGGCAAGTTAGGAG